CCCTAGGGTTTTAGGGTTAGGTTATGGCCGACCCAAATCTTGGCCAGGATTTGGGCCTACCAGGCCTGTCATTAGTTTTCAGAATATTTGTGTCGTCAATATTTTATGAGAATTCACATGGTCATAATGTTTGAGTATACATAAGTGGCGTGTAGCACATAGGGTGCCACAAGCTACATCACTAATGTAATGAATTGTATTAGGTAATAACAATAAACTGTAGTGTACGTGTAACAATGAGCCAACAAGTACTCACAATTAGATTAGAGTAGTATAAGGACTAACATTACATATTTTTTTTCGAAATGGCGATTGAGACATCAATACTGATTTTTTTTGGGGTTGATGGACGATAACTTCCATCGATGGGTGAATTCGCACGGGCGTTCGATTAAGGAGCGTCGGTACCATGACAAGAGTTCAGTCACGGTGCCGACAGCAAAATTGATCCACAGTGGCAAGGACTACATGCTCAATGGGTTCACCACTGCGGATCAGGCCAGCATCTACCAGGTTTTGGGGGAGCGATGGATGGATGTTGGAATGGTGGATTCAGTTGTGTTGGCCAGACACAACAAGATGCTGTCTATCCTCTTTATTCAGCCGAGGAGTGCGATGCTGGAAACAGCAGACAGACTGGCGGCTGTCTACGACAGGGAACCGGAAAAGTCTGAAGCGCTGCTGCAGAACATAGAAACTTACGGTGTATGGGCTGTGATAGCTTACCATCTTTTTAAGTTGAGGGATCAGCAGGTGCAGCAGGAGGCCGAGCTTACTACGGAGCAGATGTTTGATTGGGAACAGCCAAGAGCTCAGCAACCACAACTTGCGGATGCAGGGGGCATTGACCAGACTTTGGCAGTACGACTGGTTAAGGCGTTCGATGGGCTGGTGAAGCTTTTAGCGAAAATGGTTGTGGTGGCGTCTGGTGCACCCATACAGGATTTAAGGTGGTAGACAAGGCTGCGCAAATTATGCGAGACCAGTTCTTAAAAGGAGCGTCGCAGACTACGCGTGAGGGTGTACTCAATGCCCACATGTTGGAGTGTTTTATGAGCCCTCATGCGTCGTTCTTCATGGGGTTGATGTGTACTGAACCACAGTATGGGAAGGCGGTGATGACGAATCTGCGGGTGATTCATGACTCCAAGGACCTGTTTATTCAGCGGCTTTATGCCAAGAACGGGCGTTTAGGGGTTCATCTGCGTCAAAACTACAAGTACACAGGTCTGGCGCGAGTGCTAGAGTACCTGCGTAATGATCGCATTCATACTGCTGGTCCGGCTATGACAGTCGGTCCGACGGTGCAGGAAGTGTCTCAGGGTGATCGTTTTGCCATGGATGGCACTTTGGCGGCCCTTAATGATTTGCGTACACAACTAAAGAACCAGCTTAAGAATAAAAAGGCGTCGCAGAAGGACCTACGAAAGCGGATTGATGAGACCAAGCGTCAGAAGTCCGCGCGGAAGCGTACTCGATCTGAGGCCTCGGAGGACGAGGATGGGGTTGAGGTGTCAGGTGATGAACCTGACGTGGCGTTCAAGGAGCGTATGAGCAATATCAGGTGCTTCAAGTGCCATAAGATGGGGCAAGTGACTGGAAGGGTCACTAGGTGCTGCAATCGAAGAGAAAGCTCAGGCAGGCAGTGTCATTCATGGTGCTGTCCAGGGTGCAGAGGCTGAGGTCTACGTGGATTCGGGTGCCACTCCTAGTTTGGTATCAGAGTTCTTTGCGGCTCAACAGGGCCTGAAGATCGTTACACCGGCCTACCATACAAAGGTGTGGCAGAGATGGGCTTTGTTCGTCCGCCGCGTGCTGTGCAATCTTCAGGTACGTTGGATACATGGGGGGGGGGGGGACTCGGTAGGTCGTCCCATGGATCTACTAGTGGTAAATTCTTTGCCTTTTGACACGGATTTGTTGCTTGGCTTTATAGACTTACGGAAGGAACGTTTGTCGCTCATGTGGACAAAGCAGGATTGGTTGGCTGTGGTTCTTCAGACTCAGGTTATAGAAATTTTGGAGTCTCAGGCAGCAGATGAGGATCAGCCGAAAGTGCTGAGCCCGCCGGGTAAGCGGGCGAAAGCAAGGCACACACAATTTCGACGCAAGAGAGCAAATGCCGCAGAGCCGGAATCTCAATTCGTTGTGCAGCCATCTCGGCTGCTTCAGTGCAGGCGCACTTTATGGATATCGAGAAGAGGCTGGATTACCTGGCCAATGCGGCGGAGCTAGACGATGCAGACGAGTATGTGTTGCCACGGCTGCATGACTTGTTAACAGAGGTTGACATGCCCATTGGACCGACGACGGTATCCCCGGTCAAAGAAGTGGACCCACAGGCGCATTTGGAGTTCGACCAATCCCAGTTACGTAAGCTGCACAAGGCGTGCGGGCTGCCGAAGCGAGACTTAGACACCATGATCAAAGACATCCAGTCTGTGGCTTACAATGCGGCTGCCCCCACTTTCATGGTCTTTGACGATATTCATTTCCGTCATGGAGTTGAATGATGGGTCGCAGCCGTGCTACAATGTAAGCCTTAACAAGGGTCCTACCTTCTCTTCAATCTACCGCGGACTGTCTCCAGAAGGCTTACCAAGCAAAACACGATAAAAAATCTTCTCACTTAACCCGCGAATCCCGGTAAACGCTAAAGAATCAGCGCGTACGGAACCCGGATGACTTCATATACCAACGGTCTCCTCGACACAATCATCCGACACGATGGATAGCAATACGCAGCCTCAGCTTTCCACGACGGACTCTTCGACGACAGGCAATGATATAGAAATGGCTGACATCGTCAAAGAGGAGAGCCCAGTAGTATTGACCGATGATGAACAATGTTAGGCCCAATGAGGATGACGCTCTTCAACCCACAAGGACTCAACATGGACAACGCAGCACATATAGATAAGTGTTTGAACGTTATATCGATTTTAAGTCAGGTTGATGTTATGTGTTTGGTTGAAACCTGGCATAACACCACATTCCTTAATCATATACGCTCGAACACTCACTACCATATCCTACACCACACTACACAGCATAATATCTTATACCCTTCACACTGTGGTATTGGCATCTTTTCCAAACACCACCCATCGAGTTTTCAACTTGTACACTCTTCACCGTACGCGGTGTTCTTTATGTGCTTTGGCGTTCATATGGCCGTGTTCTACTTTCCACTCAAATCGCTTACTGAAGAATACGTCAGGCGATACATGAATCCCCCCGAGATTGGCGGTTTCCAACCAGATGTCGTGTGGGGAGATTTCAACTTCAAAGCCCGGAAGTATGGCCACGCATCTGCAAATCACGGACTACGTATGAAAACGATTGAAACTATTCTGCGTAAGACGTGGCACTTGGACTACCTCTATGCTGGCGGCTCAACTGGTACTGAACATGCGTATCATCGACCTACCATCCCCGCCTCCCTCCAAACTTATAAGCTGACGGACTACAGTATCTGTGGTGACCACACCTTTGGACTCGATCTCCAGATACTTCCCACGTATCAAATCCATCGGCCCAAACAAATTCCAGCAATGCCGCCGCCTCCGGACCAACGCCTCCCCTCCCATGGATATAACCGATATCGCCATCGACTGTATCATCTACGCAACAAATCCCGCGCGAGATTATTCCAAGCCGAAATCCGGGCGCATCAGAACCTACTACGGTCGTATCTCGCTTTACATAGACCAGCGGAAGGGCTGCTACGAATCCTCGACCGCATCTGGCGCTATGCCACTAACCCACAAATCTTTGGAGGGTTCTATTATGACTTAAACAGACCTTGGGTTTAGCGGCTGCCAAACCACTCGTTCTGCCCACGTCTGACCGCCCAAAGCGATGCTCAAATGTTCAAATATATTGCGTACCAACGACGGTCTCCGCGCCAACCCTGCATACCGGGTACCGATGACACAGACGCTACCCTCGCTGGCTACTTTGAGGCCCTATTCAACTCTACAAACCTGTACGTGGTTCCACCGGATACCGAACCCTCTCCTGATGTCACTTCCACCATACGCCCCGACGATGTAATGGAGGCAATACTACGCTATCCCAATAAGGGACCTGGCCCCGACGGGATCCACATCCTCCTCCTGAAGGCCGCAGTGGAGCGCTCTACCAAACGTCGGACATTGGGACGCCCCGACGCCAATAGCCCACTGATTAGACTCCTTGCCGAAGCATTCACTGAGCTACTGAAGGCGGATACCTTCCCCGCAGCCCTGAACTGCAGCCTCCTAACAGCGCATCCAAAGAAAGCCGATGCAGATATCACCTCCCCCGCCGACTTCCGCCCCATCACGCTTACGCAAACAGTCAGACGCATCTTTGAAAAGTGCTTTCTTAATCTGATTACGAGCCACCCCGGCTCTGCTACCCATGCTACCCAAGCTGGCTTCAAATAACGGTACTCCTGTCATACCCAAGCACTTGCCGCCATGGAATCTGAGACACAGTCAGAAGAGGAGTGCAACGACGTCTGTCTGGACATAACCAAGACATACGACAAGGTCGCTCTCCCACGCTAATGCCCGAAAACTGGATCAACTGCCTCCGCGCGCTGTTTGAGAGGGTCCCTACCCGAGTGACATACCGCGGCACGCTCTCGTCTCTATTCCTTAGAACGAATGGCATCCTACAAGGCTCAATCGTCGGCCCCCAGCTCTTTATTATCTACATGGATTCCTTAGCTGTCACGCTAGCACAATTTCGGCCTAAGTTCCTCCGTTCTTATTTATTTGTCGATGACACACGGATCCAAGCCCCTCGATCGGTTTCGCTCCGGCCCTTCTTAGATGACATTGATGCGTGGGGACGCAAATCTGGCCTAACAGGGTGTCATTAAACCCCGAGTACGATCTACCGACTTGCGACACGCGGCGCCAACCCTCCGTATAAATGGTGAGCTTATCACGCCGACGCTTGCAGACGCACCTTAGAACACACGTTACCTCCCCCTGAAACTGGCGCCCACACATGCCGAACCGAAACACTCCAAATACCTGGGGTTCCCACTCTCTCACGGAGTACCAGGAATCAACCTCGCTAGACATATGGAATCCCTGGTTGCAGCATTGTCACTGGGTATCGCCTCTTTCCGCGCTTATGGCTTCCATGGCTTCAGCTGGCGACATCCCCGCAACCGACTGGTGATGTTCAAATCATTCATCCTATCCACGGCTACATATGGGTTGAACATTATTGTCTGGTCTCCGCCTATATGGAAAGATGCGTTGGACCCCCTATTCGAGCGCTTT